CGGGTAGGCGTAGTGGCCTGGTGCTGCCGGGGGCAAAAAAGGGGGAGGGGAGAGCCGATCAGTGGCCGCCGCCCCTGCCAGCCCCGCACCCTCCCGCGGCCGACCCTCCTTCCGTCCCTCCCACCGGAGCCGGAGCCGGAGCCGGAGGCCTCCACCCTGCGCCCCAGCCCCACCTGGAAAGAGAACCGAGAGAAAGGAGTTAGTGTCCCAGGAGCCCCTCACCCCTGGCCCTCCAAGCCCACCACTGTTGGTGCCCTAGAAAGAAAAGAGAAGCCAGCCGGCAGGGCCCTGTGTCTGGAGAGAAAGGGGAGTGGGAGGAGAAAATGTGGCCACAGCAAGGTGGGTGTCCCTCTGTCACAGGAAAAGAAAAGATCCAGGCATCTGTTGAGAGACCTTGAGGTTAGCGGAAAATTACTGCCATGAGACCTAAGTCCCCAAACTCCAATCCTAAGTCAACAGGAGCGCTGGTCTCCTATCCGCCTAATTCCAGTCCCTGCAAGATCTGACCACTGACAGCAGGGCCATCCCCCACTAGGTGGGTCGCCAGGGCCTCCTGTTCACTGTTCTCTCCATGGGCAGCCTTCCTGTAGGGCCTGGGAGCGTTGTCTCCCTGGTGCCCTTGGCACAGAACAAGGTGCTTTGGGACTGCCACGCACACCGCCAAGTGCATTTGGAGGAGCATGGGCTCCTGAGGAGGGGGTTCCTACACTCAGAAACCAGGCCCTGCCCTAGCCCCTGGCCAGCCATACCTGTGTTGGCCCTGACAGAAGCCGGGTAGCTTACTGCCCGGCCCCGCTCTGCAGTGACAGTCACCACATATTCCACGCCTGGCATCAGGTCAGTCAGCAGTGTTCCGTCTGCTTCAGCTGGCACTTCCAGCCGCACCCTCTGGTTGCCAGCACTGACATAGGACACCACAAATCGGTCCACCTCGGCCTGGGGGCGCAGCCAGCTGAGCTCCAGTGTGGTTGGAGTCACAGCCACCACCCGGAGGTCCTGGGGGCCATCGATCACTAGCCAGGTTAGAGAGAGGATGCATCAGGTGGGAGTCTGGCTCTTCAGTCACCAGCTTTCCTTCAAGGACCCTTGCTCCACCCAAACCCTCCCCTTGGCCCTCCTGGAGGGCAGAGTCCTGGCTACCCCTCTCATATCCAGATCTCCACACAGACCCTCCCCATAGCCCCTGCTCTCACTGGTGGTGATGGTCTTGGAGGCAGAAGGGCCCCAGTTGGTCCCTCGAAGGGCTCGGACAGTGACCTGGTACTCCTGACCAGGGGCCAGTCCTCTCTGGTCATAGGCTGAGGCAGAGCTGGGCACCCGCGCAGTGAATGGGGGGCTCGCCCCCTCTGTCTGCAGGAGAGAGAGAACCGGGTGGGTGAGGGCTGGTACTCTGCCCCCCACTCAATCCCCCTATGTCCTCTGTCTCCAATTCAAAACAGTGTCAACCTGGGACTGTGCAGAACTGGGCCCTGAACAGCTGGGGGGTGCGGCCAGAGACAGCAGACACATCCAGAACACTTTCTCCATGCCAGCGCCTTTTTAAGGCACTTTGTGTGTATGAACTCACTGAATCCCAGGCACTGTGACCTTGGAGTCCCATCTCTTAGACTACCTTCTAGCCTGCTTGTCAGCTGTCTGCCAGAATTCTACCTGAAACACAGGACTCCGGTGTGCCCTGCATCCCTGGCTTCCTGGGCGGGACAGGCTTCTCCTAAGCTCACTCCTGTCAGGACAGGTGAAGGAGAGGAGGGATGCCCCTTCAAATCTCACTTCCTCCTTAAAGTATCTGCCCCAGTCTGAGCCTCCCACAGACATCTGACCCCGCTGTGTAATCTGGGTGTGACCCGTCATGACGTTTCCCTCCAGGCACTTTTCTTGTCTCCTCAAAAACAAGGCTCATCTGCTCAGAGTTCCACAAATAGTTTCCCAGTTTCGTACTTGCATCATGCTGGGCATTGAGACACAAAAGTAAACGATATGGTCCCTGTCCTCAGACAGCTTATGCTTTAGAAGCTAAACGCATGGGCACGACTTAAGTTTTGTTATAGCCCTACCCAAATCTCTGCATGTAGTACATGTCTGTGAGAAAACAGCCCTCCTCCAAGTGTACATTTGAGGTCTTATGATGATCCGTGGTGACCCCACAGGAAAGCTGCATGCCCTGCTCCAGATGGGGTGTCCTGGAGTGCCAGCCACGGGAGGAACAAAGGAACTGGACACCTTGAGCAGTCCAACAGCCCCACATTTCACTGGGCTGTCCAGCTCGACTGCTAAGAAGGACACTCTGTTCTGCTGAGCTATGTTGGCTGTGATGGGGACACCTCCATTTAGCCAAGTAGGATTGGAAATTTCAAAAGGTACTCTCCTAAACCAAGGGAACTGGTGGGGAAACCAGCACAGTAAATACCAAAGTACAAAACCAGATGAGAGGCCACGTAGAGATTTCTGGGTTGAGGGTGAATAAAGCTTTGTCAGTTTTCTTGGCTGAAAAGGTACCCTGGGCACATAGGACCCCTGTCCCTCTCCTGCTTACCCTGCCCTAAGATACCCCAGCCTAGGAGGCCTTGGGTTGACCTCAACTCAAGACCTGTGAAACCCTCATCCTTCCCATGACAACTCTGTCACCCTTTAATTCCCACCCCCCTTCCACACACACCTTGGGTGCTCCCTGATGATGTCTGTGATGTCTGGTCCTTTCAGCAAGACAAGCCCATCCCAACACCTCCTTCTCCCTTCAGATCATCTATATGAACCTTTTAGGCGGATCTTAGTCCCTCCTGAGACCCACTTCAGAACAGCTCCCTGACAGTCTCGCTGTCAGCACATCTGGCTGGCCTAAGGCAGGCTCTCTAGCCAGATGCCAGCAGCTGGCTCTGCCCCTTAGCAAAAGCTTGGCTGCTTCACTGATTGTCCTTGGCTAGTTTCTAACCCTATTCTCAAAATCAGCCTGTGGCCCCAGGTGGGGGACTCCACCTTGGCTGGCTCTTGGACCTTACGTCACCCTCATCCCCCTCTTCAGACCAGACTCAAACACAAACTTTTCTGAGGCTGCAAAGCCTTGTGACCCAATGAAAGCTTGGTGTAGCCCTGGTCTCCAGACTGTAGAACATACCCAGACGAGGAATCCCTGACCTCCTTCTGATCAGGGGTCAACTCCCTCAGTTTCCTCATGCTTTCTCTAATATTCATGGAGGGGCCAGCATTTTCCAAAATAGCAAGTCAGTGATCCTCAGGCTCGTGTGCATCAGAACCACCCGGAGGGCTTGCGGCAACACAGGTCACTGCGCTCCACCCCCAGAGCTTCTGAGTCAGTAGACCTGGCGGCGGAATTCAACAATTTGCATATCCAACAAGCTCCCAGGTGGTGCTAATGCTGCAGATCCAGGGAACACACTTTGAGAACCACTAAGTCACAGTAACAAGGCCGAGTATGCAGAGAGGATTGTTCCTCTCCCACGTTAAAATCATTCCAATAGCTAGGTGTGTCCTCGGCCAGAAACAGCAGAGTTTGAGCTCTGAGAGAGAAGTGTTCCGGATAAGGTAGGGAAAGGCAGGCTTCTAGGAAGATGGCAGTGGCCAGAGGACAGCCAGCTACTGAGTATTCTCTGTGCCGACAGAATAGGACAGAGAGCACTGGCTAAGGCAAGAGGCGCGGTTCCAGGGGCCAGCCACAGAAAGTACAGAAAATAGTCTGAGGCTGGTCGCACAGGATAATGGGGAGACGAACAGGAGTGTCCGGGGGCCATTTCACAGGAGCATTGTTCACACCCGGCTCAGAGGGGCCCCGGAGCGTGACAGAGGCCCACGCCCGGAGAAGAGCACACAAGCTGCAAAACAGGGCCGAGCCGGGCACAGGCCAGCTCCCCGCCACCCAGCCCCGCCTGAGGGAGGAAGCCAGGGCTTTGGCCGGGAAGCCCCACCTCTTGAGAACACCCAAGGGTGGGCTCGTGCTTACGAGGAGCAGAAGGCTGTGCTGCCCTGCACGCTTCCTCCATCTCAAGTGTTTATTTTAGTTCCACTTTCCCTCAAGTTTCTTTGGAAAGTTCCTTTTAAAAGTCCCACCTCTCAAGATTAGAACTATGTAAATAATATACACAGAAAAGAAGAGAGTGGGAGAAACACTTTAAAATTTTAACAGTGCTTATTTTACTGTGAAGCAGCCAAGAATTATTTGTTTTTTTTCTAGTTGCCAAATTCTTGTCTTGTGATTAAATTATTTCTATATCAAGTAAAAAAAAAAAATTCAAACAGAAGGAAAAAAATCCCAGCTATCCTGGTTGTACAGCAAAGGACTTCTACCTCTGTTTCTATCGGGCGAGGAGAGACAGCCTGGCCAGGGTCGGCCGGGGTGTGGCAGGAATAAGTAGGCTGGTTGGGGCAGGGGTAACAGCAGCACCTCGGAGCCGCCCGCGTCCCAGAGCCCTCCTGGGGCTTAGGCCCTGGGAGTTACTTCTGCCTGCAGAGTCCTGGCTGGGCAGAGAGGAGGTGGCTTGGCCTATCCACCACATCTGTGGGCTGATGCGGGAAAGCAGGAGTTGGACAGCAGAAAGGCCAGGTGATTTGGGACTAGGACGCCGAGCCCATCACGAAGGCCCAATCCGCACGGAGGGAAGTGTCTGATGAGAGGCCACCAGGCTCGCCTTTAGGGTGCCCCCAGGTATTTTAAGAGCGAGTTGGAAGGAGACAGAGCACTGACAACACAGAGGCGGGAACACCGCTTCACACAGAATCATCGCAACAGCCTGGACGGCCTGGCCCAAACCAGAAGATAGCATGGGACTGAGCCAACTGCCAAGCCCTGTGTTTAGGGTAAAAAAGTGTATATAGGTCAATGCTGTCTTTTTTCCTTCCTTCTTTCTTTTTTCTTATTTATCCATATTTTCTAAAGTTCCTACACTAAGCCTCTACAAGTTTTATAACAAAAAGTTCTTTTAAAAAACAAATATGATCAGAGCAGCCGACCGTTTGTGTGAGCACAAGTTAATACCTGTCAGCTCTGAGGGAAACACCAGTGTCTCCAGTGTTACCGGAACGGCTGGGCTCTTCTGTGCGCTCGTGTTTTGGGAACAAATGCAAAAAGCAGGAGGCACTAGAAGAGGGAACCCCAGAGGGGAAGAATTCTAGACTAAAGACCTAGGGAAAGGGGTGCAGGAACCAGCGGGTTTTGCCCGTGAGAATGAAGGGGGACTTGAAGGCCGAAGGTCTTCAAATCCCTGAAAGCCTGTGGTGTAGGATGCAGGGCAACCAAAATACCACCCCGGCTGCTGGTGAAGGCCCAGCAGGGCCACTGGATGGACGTTAGAATGGAGCAGGTTTGGACTTAGCAACAACAAAAAGAACTGACTAGCAGTGATGACCAACTAAGGACGGGACAGCCTCAGAGAGTACTGAGCTCACTGCCACCAGAGGTGTTCCAGCCCCAGTGGGCCAGTGCTTTCGGGAGAGGCAGCTTCAGGAACCCAGACATCTGGACTCAACCACTGATTACCTGGAATGTCCTGTGTGAGGTGGGCACCCCCTCCCCGGGGCCTGCCCTCTCGGCCCCCTCCTGGAGTGGGCTCTCACCGTGGGGATGAACTGAATTTCATAGGCATCCACAGGGCCAGGAGCCCGGGTCCACTCTGTCCGGACTGTCGTCTCCTCCAGGAGATGCATCCTCATGCCCTCAACGGCTGGCACCTCTGCCCGGAAGAATGGGATAGAGGAAGCTGGTTAGCCCAAGGCAGCCCCACCTGACCCCCACTATCACAGGCCCCTCCTCGGGGCCACACGAAGAGACCAGGCCTAGTTGACACTCCTCTCTGGGGTGGGGCAAAGCTAGCAGAGGCCCCAGCAGGCCCTGGGTCTCCTTCAGCGTCCCCCAGCTCCAGGGACACGGTATCTCTCCAAAAGCAACCAAAGGGCCCCCAAACCGCTCGTGGAGGGGAGAGCAGGTGCTGCCTGCGGGCCTGCGCCACGGCTCTGCGTCCCTGCACCCTGCCCCGGCCCCCCGGCTGCTCGCTGCCCGTGTCTGACCTCCCCGCACCCTGCCCCGGCCCCCG